TCATCCCCTCCATTGTCATCATCATCATCTACTCTGCTCGAAAGAACCCAGATTGAAAGTTTTAAAATTTCTGAAGAACCAGAGAGATTGGAGAAATGGGTTGCTCTGAAATCCAGAGATTCGAATGAAGATCCCAACTTTTTGGATTGAAGGAGAAGAAAGATCAAGTGGGTCAACAGAGAAAAGCTGCGCAATTTATTTTTCTTGGGATTAGAAAATTGGGATTTGCCTTGAATGTTTCTTATCTCTATTTATTTTTCTATTTTTTTATTAATTTCCTCCTAAATTTTTCTCGCAGCGCCATGTAAGTTTCAATTGTGTTGAAACCTTCAAAGATGGACGGACAAGTGGGGGAGGGGAGAGGAAGATAGACCGATGATAGCAAACGTTGTACACGTGGGTTCATGTTTTAGAAACCGGATTCTCTCTAATTTGAAGACTCTTTAGATTCGTAAATCGTGTAAGTTCATCGTATATTATATTATGTTTGAGTTATAAGAGAATGTGAATCGTGTCAGTTCCTCACTCAGTCCTCACCCATGAGAGGACGTGACCTCTACGTCCTCCTTTTAAATATTGTTTTATGTTTGAGCCATATTTCAATGAATTTGGCAACAAAAACAAATTTAATATTATGTATGCCATTTACATGAGATTCGAATTTGCATCCACAACTACTGACACGTAAATTTGTAACATTATTTAAGGGTTTGTGCTTCACATGTAAAATTTCTCGTGGATGAAAAGTCCGGTGTTATGAATCACGTGCTGCAACGATAAAAAGGTGATTTTTGTACGTTTTTTTCTAACTTGTCACACACCCCTTTCATTTAAGGTTTTCAGATTAAATAAACCAAACGAAATTGATATGAGAATTAGTGAGAAGCTAAAAATGGTGTGTGAAAAGCAAAACTTGGTATGTCGAAATTACCTAGTTGGGCCTTAATAAAGGATCAGTCTCAGTCCACAGAAAAGTCACCTCGCCGAAGATCACACATAGCCCAACCCAAAACCCTAATTCTACACCGGCGCGGGGGAAAAGTGCTGCAAAACAAAACTTTGGAACCAGAATTCAAGGTATATTGTTCGACCTTAAAATCAATCGTCGAAGGGTTTTATTTGCTTGCTGCTGAAGATCTTAGATTTTCTCTTTCCTCCGTTTCCAGAATGTTCAAGAAGTAAGCTTTATGTTGTATATTTATAAATATATGCTTTGTGTGTTTTAATTTGTTGATCATTGAGGCATATAATTTCTGGGTTTGCTTTGATTCGATGGAAATACAAACAGTTTGATTTTAATTTTGATTTTAATTTGATTTTCGATTGTGCTTATATGGGTTTTGAATTTCGATTTGTGCCTTGAATTTTGTTGTTGTTTGTGTAATTGGAAGTATGCATTTGAATGGTCCCATCGCTTCTCAATGCATTTGAATGGTCCCATTGCTTCTCTGTGTACTCTGTGTATAAGCAATCGTTCTAAAGCTTGAGCTTTCTCGTCTAAGTGGTGGTGGTTGTTTTTTCCCTGCTTTGATGTTACGATGATTTTTGAAAGAGCTATCCTCCCAAGCCAACAAGGCTCCCCGAGAGCGTCTGGGGAACATTTATCGTATCTAGACTTACCCTTGCTCTGCAAAGAAGATGTTTCCACGACTTGAACCCGTGACCTTTGAGTCACAAAGTAGCAATTTTTCCGTGGTGCCAAGGCTCGTTCTCACAATGATTTTTTAAAGGTCACTTCTTTTTGCTTTTTTGGAAGATGAGGTTCAGGGAGGATGGTTAGGGTTCCCAGTAATTTGTTTCCGTGTGGAAGTGGTTTGAAGTAGCAAATACTTCTTGGGCAATGGAGATACATAAGGGGAATATTTTGTTATATAATTGCATAATGTATGTGTTATGTTGTAGGTTTTCCACTGAAGAGGTGTCTGCACAAAACCAAGTGAAGGCATCAGTCCAGCGCAAAATTCGGCAAAGTATTGCAGATGAGGTAAGATGTTCATAGGAATTTAACTGATGCATTAAGATACGCTTTACATTCGTTTTAACGAAAATTTAACTTCAACCGCAGTACCCTGGGCTCAAACAAGTGTTGGAAGATTTGATTCCTAAGAAGTCTCCTCTAATTGTGGCTAAATGGTTTGTTACTCTGTTGGATTTACTTGTTGACTAAGCTGTTCGTTTGGTGCTGTCTTATCCTGTATATCTAACATTGTCTCCCACTCTCTCCACTTTTTCAGTCAGAACCATCTCAATTTGGTTGTGGTAAACAACGTGCCACTATTTTTCAACATTCGTGATGGACCATATATGCCTACCCTAAGACTTCTCATCAGTGTAAGATTTCTGTCCCACAAAATTGTCTTCTCATTATTCTACAGTCTACTTTCTTGAAGAATCATCTCCCTATTACTTTATTTGTTGATTGTCACTGTGACGTCAATGCTTCTTTGTAGCACGGTGAAACGCAATTCTGGTGTTTTGGAAGTAAATAATTTGGAAGGAACTTCTAATAATGAGAATGATAAACCTAACTTTACTTATACCAAAAGAGTTGCTTGTATTTTTTTATCTTAGGATTCAATGAATTGAATGAGAATGATCAGAAGTTCTCTTAATCACACGCCATACAATCTGTAAATAAGAATGCAATGATCTGTTGAAATCGCAATGGAAAACCAGCTATTTGGTGGGTTTCTTGCTATTCTTGGCCTCCTGCGTTGGGTTCCAAATGAGATATGAGCCCTACTGTAGTGGAAACTCTAGGACAGTTCTGTCAATATTTTCAGCCATGGATGTTGGGTTTGGGTTTACGGTGCAGGCAGGTGGAACCATCATACATGTACTCTAGAAAGTGAGAATTCTTACCTTCAGGTGAGACCTGAAAGGTGAATTGATTCTCATGGTTGGAAGTTCCGATTCAACTATGTCCCAGTACCTTATTAAAGAGGAGAGAAATATTCAAACTATGCCACAAGTCTTTGCATAAATTTTGGGAATATTTTTTTTTTCTTTTTTGAAGGGCAGCGAAGGGGCTTTGTGCTTTTGTTTCTAAGTCTGGTCTATGTTTTCTCCTGTGCAATCTTCCTTTTTCATCTTTTCCATGAATTATCTATGTTATTTGTAAAGGTTTACATATCTATTTGAGAAAACTCAGGGATTCCGTGTTGCGTTTTACAGATCCAGATATAATGAAAAAGTTGCAAGTAGACAGGGGTGCCATTAGGTTTGTTCTCTCTGGTGCAAACATAATGTGTCCAGGTCTTACTTCTCCTGGAGGTGCTTTGGATGATGAAGTGGGAGCAGAAACTCCTGTGGTACAAGTTTATCTTCTTCTTTTTTCTCCGGATTAATGTTAATGTCAAACTCACGCGAGAACAAATATTATGTTGAGTTGGTTTAAATCATTTCCTTATCATGAGATGGAAATGTTGAAGTTCAGTTTGGTTTGTTTGCATCTCAGGCAATCATGGCAGAAGGGAAGCAACATGCTCTCGCAATTGGTTTCACAAAAATGTCAGCAAAAGAAATGTAAGTTGTTACCTCATTTGAAGGACTTCATAGTTGCTTCTCCTAGAGTAATGCCTGAGAAACCCTTAGGATATTGAGAACAAGATATGTAATACATAGAGCCTAACTTTTGTTCACCGACCTCAGAATCTGACGTCAAATGATAAAGCTTAAAAATTTAGAATAAATCATAAACATTTAAAGTTTCTGCCCTTGTTCTTTGTAAATTTGGGCAGTAGAGCCAAGTTCGTACTATAGCGAACTTATATATGTATCAAAGCCAGCTTAGTAATCCGATGCTGATTGCCTTATCTGCGTGGCTTACAGAAGAGATATCAACAAGGGAATCGGAGTTGACAACATGCATTATCTTAATGACGGTCTTTGGAAGGTATGTAGTTAAATTTTACTACGTATCTATAGCCATTGCTGGTGTTTTAATTATCGTTTCCATGATACATATTTCGCCTCGCTTTGCAGATGGAACATCTGGATTGAGGATATTGAAGACTAACCGTGGTATCACCAACAAGACATGAAGAAATTTATGTTAAAGTTTCATCAATGTGGTGTCGACTTCTCGGTCTTTCGAGTGTTAGATCGGAGCTTAAAGAGTTAATTGTATACCGTATTCGGAATTACATGTTTTGTATTTGTATGTGGAGTGATCAACTTGATCGAATATTTCACCCCTTAATCAAATTCGTTGTAAGATAGTCGTATCCATTATGTTACACAGTTCACATGTACTTCTCTTATGTTTTATGTAAGATGTGAATTCTCAACTCCCAAGCAGATGTTCTTGAGATCTCCAGTGAAGGAATATATTTTTTTGGAATGAACAAAATTACGATATCCTCTTACTCTGTGTTTGGATGAGTAAGTTTAAGATGACTAAGAAAATTTAATATGACGGAATTTTAACTTTTTAAATTTGTGAATTTTATTGTGTAGTGTTGGCAACGACAATGGTGGTGATTATGGTTGCAGTGGTGATGGTAGGTAGTGGTGGTGACAATGGTATGCAGTGGTGACAAGTGGTGGTGGTAGCCCATTCATGGTCGAATTCTTTGTATTTTTTTGCTTGTTTGTTTTTTAACTCTCCATAATGGGAAGTTAAAAATAACAATTATTTACATGGAATTTGAACTTAGAAAATAAAAGTCCAAAATTTCAAGTTTTCTTTTCACACGGAATTCTAAATTTCTATGTTTATGAATCTGAATAAGGGAATTTGTGCATGTTAATTTATAAAGAAGTATTAGCCGATTTCCTTCTTGAACTTGTAAGAAGCTGCCAATTTTTCCCTTAGACTTTAAGTTTAGCCGATTATCCCCGGAAACTATTATAATTGGCCAATTTCTCTCATAGACTTTAATTTCCTACCCTAAACCCTAAAATTCTAAAGTGAACGAACAAAAGAAGAAGATATTAGAGATAAAATTACATTTCTGCAATTATAAAAATAAAGTTCAGGGAAGCAATTGTCGATTACAAAAATTCAGGAGGTAATCGGCTAAAATTAAAGTTCATGAGGAAAATCAACAAATACCTCATTTACAAATTCTAACTTCTGTACAAATTCCAAATTTATTTCCCTCGTAACTGTTGGATAGTTTTGGTTTGTTGCAACGATAGAAGGCTTGAGAAGTAAGCAATGGAGGAGAAGTGCAGGTTCAAGGTTGTAACTTCTGAATGAATGCTAAAACTAATACATCATTCGCAGCTCAAAGAATAGCAAAAGGCACAAACTTTATAACAATATATTGATCCATCATCTGTAAATAGTCATAACTAAACGTTTTCCCGTACAAGAGAGAAATTCATCTTTTACTTGGTTTTCCTACTTCCTGGACTATTAGGAGACTTCTGGCTTTTCTTGGCTTCAAATTTCCTGATTCGTAGAGCGGCTACATTGTGGCGCTGGTTATGTCTTTTTCGTTTGCTGCACATACACATGAACACAGAAAAGATCAACAGCGGAGCCAAAACGATCCACCCTAGCTACGCTAACAGAATTTCATTATGGAAATTGACATGACAACAGAGGAAGGGCATACCTTACAAACAATAGGCCTGCTGTAAGCACCAATCCTCCGATGGCCCAAGAAACTCTTTCACTAAATGGCATTTCCCTCCACCACTGCTGGAATTCCTCTAGCACCCTCAAGCTCTCAGCTTTCTGGGGCACCTCAGATGGTGAAGCCTTCCATGAATCAGCAATCAAATCAAGACTGGCTTTCCCGCCAATCAGCAAAAATTTGGTTCTCCTGGTTCCCGCTCATGCTCATCTTGTACGGCAAATCCTGCAGCATAGCAGAACTCTGTCCATAGAATCCATTCAGAGGCCCGCCGCAAACCATTAATCTACTCCACATGGTGCTAGACCTGGAAGAAAATTTTAATCATCAAAAAGTACGTTGTCTAACATAATTTACATTATGGTTATTATGTAGATAGTTTAAGGATTTTCAGTCTAAGATCAATCAGTGTCATTAAACACTACATTTGCTATAATCATTTACAAACACATTGTCACCTAAAGCTAGAATCGTTAATACTAATTCGGGAATGATGCGATCCACCGTTCAAGTGAAGTTACCGGATTAGGACAGGCAACAAACCAAGCAAGAAATGCCACACCGTGCATCATGTCCAACCCAAAGGACTAGAGCATCAGGCGACTCCCACGCATTCCACTTTGAGGGATAAATCAGGCAAGAAGAAAACCTGGACTGGGAAATAAAGCCCACCCACAAGCCGGGCCCAGGGTATACCTGGTCCAATATTGCACGTCCGTAGAGTTAGTTAAGGCCTCGAAGCGACACAAGGGCTCTCAAAAACGCCTGTGCGAGGCCAGGGAAGGGTAGCACACATCATTGAACCGGAGGTCTGACTAGGGCTATACGTCTCATTATGTGAGGAAGAAAAATCACAGGGATGGAGGACAATTCCAGTAAACTTCCATAAGGTGCGGAGGCGCACCTCTGGTGGGGGCCGACGAGCTTCTTCGCGTGGATCAAGTCCAACTGGTCATTAATATAGATACCTTAAAGTGCCAGGATGTGTCTGGGGGCTGGGACGCATCCACGAGTGCCAAAGTGTAATTTCTTTGCGGAAAACAACCTTCTTGACGATTAGTTAGTCACGATCCTTGCGCTGCGCACTCCCTTGCTTAACGTTTTTGGAGGCTTCAAATCCTTACCACCGGATAGTAGATTGCGCGTGAAACGCCACACACGCCCATTGGAAGGCAGGTAGCCATACACTGTCAGGAACTTTACCTGCAATTTAATTCTACACGAAAATTTTTTTAGATAACGTTTTTCATATATAAAGTGTCCTTTCTAGCCAACACAACATCACTATACAAAAGATGAAAACAAAAACTCGATAAAAGTGACATATTAGCAGGTAGAATTACTTCCAAAATCGCACCTTTTAGGTTCCAAAAAATAATATCCATAGAGATTTCATACTAAAATATATATACTCATGCAAAGTAGTATATTGAGCATACACTAAGAATAAGAGAACAACTTCAAAGAAAAGCTAAGCTCTAAATTTCTGCCTGATTAGGGACTGATGGAGGGATTACGGACGGGAAATAATTCTAAGAATAGGCAAGATATTGTCCATGCCAATTTAGCCCTAATCAACCACCCAGGCAACTTACCTATATGCAAATACGTAGCTATGACCCTATTAATCACCATAGGATGTGAGAGACAGCGAGGTTCTCAGAGGCCACACCGGGGCAATGATCACAACCTTAAAATGCGAGCTTAAAAAAAAGCTGCCCTCCCATGGCTTGGTCAACTACAAATATTAATTACATAGAGCCTCCACATTTCCAAGCTGATTCCTACGACCCATCTCAGCTCCTCTTGGCAGAGCGAGTACTGATTGCATGGCGTTACCGCCACAACACGCCGAATCATATCTCGCTCATTACTACACCACCTGGAGTATTTTGCACTGAACTGGTGACCAGGGAGTCTAATTCTATGGTGAAGAAAGAATTATTAGGGCGAATAGGTGCTTACCATTCATACAAATGTAACAGGCAGCAAAAGGAGGTTCATGTTATCATGCTATAATACCCTCTGCATCCGATGGAAAGTGTCATTTAGAAGTTAATCAGGCTGATTTCTCGACTCCTATCTGAGAATGTTTGACCAAATATTCCAACCCGAGTGCAACTATCTAATAATCCAGAAAAGAAATATAAAAATAACAAAATACATTAATGCATGATGTTTCGATTATTTACAGTAAAAATAGATGAAATTTTCGACTGGCTGATATAGGGTGGGTGATCTAATATGATAAATCGACAACACCCGGGCTTAAGGAGACCTCGTTTGCGGTCGAAAGACTCTTCAACACAGAGCTTTCAACAATTCATGTGTATGAAAAATTGGCAAAGGGATAGGCCGAAAGATCAAACAATGTTATGGATCTGTATAAACGCGAGAGAACACAGAATACAAAATTGAAAATTATACCTCATGAGAATATCTATGTCAGCCACCAATTCCTTTAGCTATATGTTTATGATATCTGTTAATTAACCATTTAGATTAGTGGAGGGCGAAGTGTATTGGTAGAAGGATTCACGCATTCAGGTATAGGGAGAGTCGTCGTGCATACCCATTTAAATTTTGTCAATCTCGGCTGTTGGTTTTTAATTCCATTTTTTTCAGTCTAATCCTGTAGACTAGGCTATCATAGTTTATAATGACGGACAGCATGATGGCAGAAAATTCCTTGACGTAGCTGATTATTTAAATCCAGATGACAAGACCACGCGGGATAAGAATAATCACAATATTCTATGGCTCATTAATTCCTTTATTAAGAGAACGATTCAATTGATTTCTATTTGCTAAACTTCCATGAACTTCTTGGTCTCATTTGAATTTGACTACTGCTTTATTGTTGTTTAATTTTATCTTTAATAACATACGAATTCCTTATTGTATTGAGGTAAGTTAACATGCCTGCTTGCTTTAATCCTGATTGCAGAAAAGGTATTGGGAGAGTATTCGGGCAGTATGGTGGGTGGAACAAATGGCTCTTCATTAATCGAAGTTTCTTTTTCTGGGTACGTAGAAGTTCAGTGACAGTAATATGAACCAAAAGAATATATGGGTGTTAATGGTAATTGTTCTTCAATTCTTCTGATGTAATTAATTTATCTTAATCTATGAAGAAATTTACATGGATTAGTGGAAATTTTTGGTGAGGTCTCACGCACCTGATGGTTTCTTTGTATGAAATAATGTTTCCCTAATTCTTTTTATTGAGTTGTCTTAATTTTTGTAGGTCCTGGTTTTCTCCGTGAGAATTCAAAAATAGTAGGAAAGGTTTACTATTGACGGGCTAAATTTTGTGGTTTCGCCAGTTTAGTGATGGGGAAACCGCTAAAAAGAGATGGTAGCCCAGAGCTATGGGAAGTCGAAGCCCTCAAAAATGCTGGCTCTGGAAACTGTTTTTTCATTTTATCAAGAACATACATAGGTGGGTTTTTTGAAACATTAAATTGTCGGTTTCAAACTTATTTTCCTACCGCAACATTAATGATGTCTTGGTTGTGGAATATTCGTATTTAATTGCACCTAATGTGGGACTGCGCTTTTCCTGGCCACTAAACGATTTTGGAGTCCGAGCTTTATCGAAATATTTTTGCTGGGAGAGTTAGGTTAAGTTCTATTTTACTAAATGGGTATATCTATACAAGTCTCCGCCACTGGTGAATCGATTTGAAGGCAATTTGTTTCTAAAATACGAAGTTTTCAAATTATTCCTTCCTTTAACTTTAGAATACATTCTGATTTGAGGCGATCTTCGAGGTTTTCAATTAACCTAATAAATTACTAACACTAAGCTCTATACGTGTTGAATTTTTCTTCTTGTGGTGGGTTATAGGGATGAAAGCTATACAATCCTCACCTATAGAAGGTAATTTCTACCTAGGGTGGTTTGACTTAAACAAATTGTTTGGTTGAGAAGTTAGGACAAATCGCCTAAGCTTAGAAGGGGCAATTTCATAACTAAGATATAAATCTGTAAAACGATGATAATTAGCAAGACAATTCTGTAAACCCGACTTCCACTTCTAGTGTGGTTTTGACTCAATCCAAATTTATGGGTGGTTGCACGGGTCATAATCTCAATGAGTTAAGAGTTAGGCGGAGATCAATCTTCTTAATAAGCTTAGATGATTTTTGAGGTAAAAATCTTTACAATCGGTTTGAAGTTAACGGGAATGGGAATCTGACATTTGTATGTTTAACTCGTTGTAAAGCGAATAGGGAAACTTGTTGGATTAATGGATGCTTTTACTATGGAATGTGCAGATGACTGAATGATTCCAAACTTTGTTGGAATTATTGATGCGAATATTTTGAATGCTTCACATGGTGACTTGGAAATATGGCTGAATTTTCACATGGTAATTGTCATAGTGTGTCCACATGATGTCTTGACATGATGACTGAATTGTCACATGGTAATTAATAGTATTTCACATGGCCTTATGCAAAAGGGTCTTGCGAATGCTAGTAGTCGACCTATTTGGCTTTGACTGCTGTGTTTTTTATTACTTATTGAATTGGTTGGTTGCTGTGAGGACGCATCTAAAGATTTGGAGTCTAAAGCTTCTTCATCTTCTTCTTCTTCTTCAGTGTGGAGCATCGCTGCTTCTGCAAGTAATTGTTGTGATAAATCTTGGAGCTAATTGACTTTATTGTTCTTTGAGCCTGACGATTTGGGAGACTTGACTGTTCCTTTGAGGGATAAGGATGGACTAATGTCTGATAATGATTGAGCTAGAATAACTGGCAGCAATGGCTGTGTTGGAATGACTGGAGGTGAAGTACTGGAAAATTTAGAGAGGACCTGACTGATGACCTTCTGATGATTGAATTTATCCCATCACTTGACCGATCTTACTTTGTTGATTTCACCAGTTTCAACTTTATAATTTCACTTCAAGATCCACAGAACTTTGTATTTGTCCATGAATATTGGGTGAAATGTAATTCTGTAGTTGAATCTGCTTCTATCAAATTTTTGTTGAAGGCTGGCGAAGAACACCTGCACAAGTTCTTTTGGTAAGAGTGTAGACATGTAAATTTCGTTGCATACAAAAGATGCATCTCAAAGCTTCACGTGGCATATGACTCATGACAAATGGACAAGTCATCAATGACATGTGGTACAAATCAAGCAAAGGAAG